CAGATGAGCAAACCTTATATGTACTGTACTGTACTACCCTTCAGGGACAATATATCTTTGTTAGGCCTGTATCACCAGAGCATCCTTCTACAAGAACCCTCCAGGGTCGTATGAAGTAAGTCAGAGCCTGGACGAGTTACTTTTCTGGCCCCAGCCAGCCTACCCCAGGCGGGTTAGGAGGGGAGCTCTCGAAGAGCTGCCATCCAGACAACAGGCCTGGCGCTGGGCTGACCTTCTCTCTCCCGCCCCGCTTCCCCGTCGTTTCTGTGGGACCCTCTGCGAAGAGCGCCATAACTTGCGCCCGCAGCGCATTTCTCTCCTGGGCGAAGGCCGGCGATCCCGCTCGCCCACCGACCGACCTCTTCTTACCCTGAGGGGGCCAGCCAGAGAACGGGTTCAGATCCCGCCTAGCGGTAGGTAGCTCTGGAGAGCCGCCTCCGGCCGAGAAGGGGCTCGTCGTCTTGCAGGGGAAACCCTCTTCCCCCCCACCCCGCCCCTCCGGGGAAGGAGCCGAGGCCGCCGGAGAAGAGGCGACTTTTGCACGGTGGGCCACAAACCGCGACGCCCTGTTTTTATTTTTGTGAGGTGCTTTTTTTTTTGGCGGTGGGGGGGAGGCGGCCGTTTCCGACCCCACGCAATTGGCGGAACTTCGGCCTTTTGGCTCCTGTTGAAGCCCAGAGCAGAGCGAGGGGGGCACCGGCTGTCGCTGGGCGGGCGCGACGAAGCCCTCTCCGGCTGGCCTTGCCTCTCCCTCCTCCGCTGCGCCGCCTCCTGCTCCCATGGCGGCGGCGGCGGGTCCTCGTAGACGGCTTGTGCGGGTGTTTCTCGGGCCGGCGTGGGGCCCGCGACCTCCTTGGGTAGGCTCTGCCCGGTCACTGCGGCAACAGGTGTCGGCTTTGGGCTTGGCTGGCTGCCGCTCCCGGTGCCTTCGCTCCCAGACAAGTCCCGGGGAAGAGCGAGGGCGTCACTTTCGAGGCTCCTTCTCGTGCATTTCCCCCCTCCCCCACTTATAATTACTTATTACTTCAAACTACTTACTGTATATGTGTAGTGAGTAGTATTATATATTATAATGTATGTTATAAGATAAATAGGGACTGTCCGTTCAATGCATTTAAAGGGGAAAAACAAAAAATCACCAAAAATTAAGGAAGACTCAGAACAGAGCCAAATTAAGTTTGCATAGGTTTCACAAGGTGCACTACCAATTTCAAGCATTTAAAACAGGTTTCAAACATTTTAAGACACTTAAAAATGAGCGAAAACGGAGATCAGAAAGCCATTCAAAAGCATTGCAGCAGGCTGCAATGCTTTTGAATGACTTCCATTGGGGGAAACATTGTTTCACTTAGCGATGTTTCCTATGGGGATTTTCGCTTAAGGACGGTAATCCGTTTCCATTGGAACGGATTAACTGGTTTTCAATGCATTCCTATGGGAAATGGTGTTTCGCTTAACGATGTTTTCTCATAGCGATGGGTTTTTTGGAACCAATTAACATCGTTAAGCAAGGCGCCACTGTATATTAAATATAATAAAAATTATGATATGTGTGCGATAACATAAGTTATGTGGTTATGTCCGTGTGTAGATATGAATGTAGTAAGAAGGAAAACAGGGCGTCCTGCCTTCTATCTCAGGTTAGAAAATATATATGCATATGTCTGTCTATATCTGTATATCTCAGGATAGAATATTCCTTTACACAGCTCTAATACTGATAATGAAGAAACTGAAATAAGGTAGATATTCGTTGCTGTGGCTGTTAGTGTTGTTCTTCCTATCTTTTAGGAATTTGTTTAGCTTTCTAAGAAGCCTAGTTGTGTTACTTATCTGTTAGTATATATGGCAGAAGTAAAGAATTTTATGAAGATATTAATTGTATCCACTGTACCATTTCTTTAAAAGCATTTTTTTCTTATATTGTGAAGATGAATCCAGATCTTTCTTTCTTACAAGAAAGCATATAAGTACACTTTAATAAATTAACTTTTTCACTTTCAGAATTTCACCTTGAGATTTCGGCATACTGTTAATTGTCCTATGAAGTACATTCTGGTAACTGGTGGTGTCATCTCAGGCATTGGCAAAGGAATTATTGCAAGCAGCATAGGTACAATCTTGAAATCATGCGGCCTAAGAGTTACTGCTATCAAAATAGATCCGTACATTAACATAGATGCTGGAACATTCTCACCTTATGAGCATGGTAAGAGTGACACGAACTTATTTTCTATACAAGTGTAGTCTTGTTCTTATTTGTGTGTGTGAAATCTTTCTTGTATAGTGAAGTTTTTAAGTGTCTGACATTATATATATTCCAATACAGCATTAATGTATACTTGTGTTAACCTATGTTTTGCTGATCTCATTGAGATTTATTTGCTAGTTACATTAATTTGTATGCATTTCTACTTAGAAGTAAGTTTGATTTAGTGTAATAGGGCTTACTCCCAGGTCTGAAGGTACAGGATTGCTAGATTAATTATGATTTTAATCCTGCATTCACTTATATGTGAGTAAACTCCATAGAACTTACTTCTGAGTAAGCATAACAAAGATTACAGATGGTTGTTGTGGGTTTTTCGGGCTCTTTGGCCGTGTCCTGAAGGTTGTTCTTCTTGACGTTTCACCGGACTCTATGGCCGGCATCTTCAGAGGACTAGAGTAGGACAGAGTTCTACGGCCAAAGAGCCCGAAAAACCCACAACAACCATCAGATCCCGGCCATGAAAGCCTTTGAGTATACAAAGATTGCAGAGTTAGTTTTACATTTCATTTCCTGTTTTGTTCTAAGGATAGTAAAGGCGGATTCACACATACATATCCATCATTTATTTGTTCCAGTGTTAAAGTGATGATTTTTATGTATGAAAAAGCCATCACATTTCAGACACCTTAACAACTGTTTTCATCTTGTCTACAAGCTTAGCACTTTTCAGTGAAGGTAGATTACCTAGTAAGGTGCCACGCCTTAAATGTTGAGTAACAGTGATTATAGCTATGTGCAGACTCATTCCAAATAGGGTTCATTTGGAATCCACTAGTTTTCCAGAATTGACACTTTATATTCATTAGTGAATGTTTACTATTATTTATTTTTATTCCATCATACATTTACTAGAGCAGTGGTCCCCAACCTTGGGCCTCCAGATGTTCTTGGACTTCAGCTCCCAGAAATCCTGGCTAGCAGAGGTGGTGGTGAAGGCTTCTGGGAGTTGTAGCCCAAGAACATCTGGAGGCCCAAAGTTGGAGACCACTGTACTAGAGGGTGCAAGGCACTGTAGCCCTGACACTTTATATTCATTAGTGAATGTTCACTATTATTTATTTTTATTCCGTCATGCATTTACTAGAGGGTGCAAGGCACTGTAGCCACAAAGTAAGTTCAGAATATCATGATGAAACTGAAAGACTACTAGAGGGTGCAAGGCACTGTAGCCATAAAGTAAGTTCAGAATATCATGATGAAACTGAAAGACTGAAATGTAACAATGTCAAAAGCAACACTGTTGTAGAAGCAGAGCAGAAATAAAAATACAGTACCACTTTTGATTTGATTACATGTATAATTATGTTGAACCTTCTATTCACATAACTGTATATGTTGGTAAGACTTTTGTGACTGGATCATCTCATTGTGAAAGAGGAATGGTTTACATCATGCCAACAGTGGAGAAAGCTGAGCTCCATGGTGTTTCATGGGGACCCCGAATACAGGGAAGAATTGTGTCCCTATCGATAAAATTTACAGAAACTACTTGAACAGAATTGAGACTTACTCTCCACCTTGCTCACAAGTCACTTTAGCCTGAAGTGAAAGCATACTTTTAACAGAATCCTCCATTACATAATTACAATTTGGGAAAATAGATGTTGCCAAATACAGTGGTGCCTCGCATAACGAGCGCACTGTTTAACGATGAATTGGCATAGCGATGCGGATTTTGCGATCGCTAATGCGATCGCATACCGATGTTCTATCACATTGCGATGGTGGAACAGCTGTTCGGCGGTTCCAAAATGGCTGCCGGAACACCCAAAATGGCCGCCGGAACCCAACAGTGGAGAAAGCTGAGCTCCATGGTGTTTCATGGGGACCTCGAATACAGGGAAGAATTGTGTCCCTATCGATAAAATTTACAGAAACTACTTGAACAGAATTGAGACTTACTCTCCACCTTGCTCACAAGTCACTTTAGCCTGAAGTGAAAGCATACTTTTAACAGAATCCTCCATTACATAATTACAATTTGGGAAAATAGATGTTGCCAAATATAAATTCTTGCTGATTTGCTCTCTACTTTTCGAATGGCAGAATAAAATCAAACAGGTAAAGGGGAGGTGGGATAAAAAGTACCCAATTTGTTTGTGTTCAACACATACAGTGTATTGCTTTAAATTATGTTGTGTTGCACACTGCTGCAATGTGCTGTTTCTGGGGCTATTCTTGAATAGTGTATAGGTGCTTCATTTGTTCCCTGAGATAGCAGGTAAACTGCAGATTGATACGTGGTATAGAAATCATGTTATCCTAATATCAAAAGACTGCATTGGTTACAGCTTGCTTTGTGAGGCCACTTCACACTATTGGTTAACTTTTAAAGCCCTGGATGGCTTGGGCTATGCCTTTTTAAGGGGCCCCGTGGTTCACTGTGAACCTTTCTGGATGTTAAGACACCCTCTGGAGAATGTCAATACCTGCAGAGGTCTACTTGACACGAACACACAGGAGCAATTTATTTTCCGTTGTTCCATGTTTGTGCAATGCATCCTGCTCAGAGTTGCAATCAGTTCCCATTCTCACTGCTTTTAGGAAGATTATGAAGACACATCTGTTAAAACTGGCAGTTTAAAATTTACTTTTTGTTAAGTTAATTATTGTGGGATTTTAATGGTTTTATTCTCTAATTTGTTTTTAATGAAGTTTCTTAGCCACCTTGAACAATGCTCTTTAGTGGAAAAGTGGCATAAATATGTTTGAAGTATTTACATACATAACATAGTACATATGTACTGTGCATTTATGTCCATGATAAGCATGCACAGACTATGAAATATATTGTGTGACTTAATTGAGCTGATTTCTTTTTTTCTAAGGGGTAAGGGAAGGTGATATTTCTAATGAGTCAGTCTTTCTTGTGCTAGATAGTTCCTCTTTTTCCTTCTTAAAACATACCTAATGAGCCATTAATGAATATGACTATCTGGCAAATACAAAAAAAGCAGCCTCCTTCACTCTTGTGAAGGAGCTTCAGTAAATAACAGGACTTTGGATCATCTAAATACTGTAAGGAACAATTTTCATAATTTTATTAAAAAAACAGTTTGGTGGTGAGAAAATGCTAGTAAGAATTATTGGAGGACTTCCAAACGTCATAAATTCTGCCTCTGATGGAAATTAATCTGTTTAATTTAGTTTTTTAAAATATTACCTTCCTTATATTAGTGCAGTTGCTTAGTTATCACACTAGCTTTTTCTGAACCAATAAACTCTAAGACAGACCATAAAAACAGGCAGATGGGATTGTATCATAAATCCCTCAGCTCCAGATCAATTAAATGACATACTTGAATAATCTGGGTAAGAGATTTTTTTACCACCTAGTTGGAGCGTATAATGATGTAACCTTGTTAGAAGTCCTTACTGTAAAGTCCCATTTTCAGACTTTCTTCACAATGAAAGCAGACCTTGATGATTTAATTCTTTAGAAGTGTGGTCACCTGTCAGATGGGATGGAGTGTGCAGTGTAGAACTGAAGTGAGATGACTGAAACATTTCTTGCTGTGCTGAGAGTATAGGTTATAATAGGCATTCCTCTGATTTCTCTTCGACAGGGAAAGGTCTGATTCACCATAGGAAGTAAATTTGGATTTTGAGCATGCCATGTTCAAAGTCTAGGATGTAGCCCTTTTGAAGAACTTCGTTTTCACTTTTCCAGGGCAGTAAGACTGTTGGTGTAAGAAGGAACAATATTTCAGATGAAAAATGAGTGTCTATAAAGAGAGTTTAAGGTACAGTCCTGTCATCTTGGGAGAAAATGCCAAGAGCCATAAGAAGGAGTGGGTCTCTCCCTTTGTGGTTTTCATTGATGGTCCAACCTCATAGGAGTGATTTGAAGCTAACCTCCCCCCCCCCCGATACCTCAGAGGTACCTATGGAGACTCCTCTTCACCAAATCAGAAATCTGACTTAAAAGAGGAGCAAAAGGAAGTTATTAATTTGAGGCAGAGGGCAAAGATCCAAAGTTTTAGCATATTGGTCCTGCATTTTGGATCTGCTGCATCAAAGGGTCTCTCAGCCTGCCCGTTAAATTAAATACATACATCAGAGCATGTTTCACTTAATTCCATCAGTTGTTTTTGCTTGTTGCTTTCATGTTTCTTTGGTGGTTTAAAATTGCATAAGAAACAAATGAGATCAGTTTGCTTATCTATATAGAGTTTTTTTAAGCCAGCCAGGGAATCCTTGTGATGTGTGATTTCATTGGTGCAGGTAGCCCCTCCAGTGATGCAAATTGTAACTACTGTATTATACAGTATTGTTGTGGACATATTTGTTTTGGCCTATTCATTACCTGGTGACCTGCCTTCTTGTAATGAACATTTCTTGCACTTAGCTATTCTGGCCCTCAGATGACAGTTGTTGAGGCTGCACTTGAAAACTTGGTAGAACCAGGTCAATGGAACCTACCAATGGTTGTGGTTTGTTGAAACAGCTTTTGAGAACTCAGAGCCAGCTTCATGCCACAATGAGGCAGCAGAATATGGCTTTGTGTTTGTTGAGACAATTTGGGTAAGAAACAATTCTAGTAATAGTAACATTTTACATTTAGACAAAGTTGCATCAGATGTCTATATACATTAGAACCAATTTAAAATTTATGCTTCTCCATATACTGAAACTAGTCAGACCTCCCAGTAACCTCAGTGATTGAGGATCAGGAATGAAGTGCATAGTATAAATGTACAGTGGGCAAAATCTTGATGTGTAACTTTGCACCTGGTGTAACCTGGATCGGGCATCAGATATGCTTAATTTACATTAATAAAAAGCTTCCTAACCCACTTCCTATTTTAGGTTCTGAGCCTCTTTGAAAGCCTTCTCCCACTCTGAAGGTCCAAATATTTCCATTAGGTGAAAGGGAACCCAGAGGAGCCTCGGAACCTAAAACGGGAATAAGAAGTGTTGATTTGTTGTTATCTGCCATCAGGCTGCCTCTGATTCACGAGGAGCCTATGGTTGAGCAATCTCCAAATTGTCTTGCCCTCAACTGCCTTGCTCAGCTCTTATAAATTCAAGTCTGTAGCTTCCCTTTGGGGGTCAGTCCATCTTGTATTTTGTCTTCCTCTTTTCCTGCTGCCTTCAACCTTTCCCAGCATTATTGTTTTTTTCACAGAATCCTGGGAAAAGAGAATATTTCACTTTTCTATGACAGAAAATTAAGGCTTCTATCCCTTTTTTGTGGTTTTGGAAGAGCCCATGACTGAAAGTACAGTGGTGCCCCGCTTGACGATGATAATGCGTTCCAGGAAAATCTCTGTACAAGCAAAAAAAAGCCCCATTGAAATGCATTGAAAACTTTTTTGTGGTTTTGGAAGAGCACATGACTGAAAGTACAGTGGAGCCCTGCTTGACGATGATAATGCGTTTCAGGAAAATCTCTGTACAAGCGAAAAAAAAGCCCCATTGAAATGCATTGAAAACCGGTCAGTGTGTTCCAATGGGGGAAATATCTGCTCGTCCAGCGAAGATCCTCCATAGGGGAAGCCATTTTGCATCGCTGTCTTCCGGAAATAGATCTGGAAAACAGTGGGGAGCCATTTTGAAAACTGGATGATCAGCTGTTTTTAGTCGTCGTGAAGTGAAAAATCGGTTCCCGAAGCAGGGAACTGATCGTCGTAAAATGAAAAAACCCCATTGGAATCATCATTTTGTGATTGCTATAGCGATCGCAAAAAAACTCATTGTCAAGCGATTTCATCGTCTAACGGGATAATCGTCAAGCGGGGCACCACTGTATTATGTTTACTCATTTCATAAGTTATCCAGTTACATATAATGTATATGCTCTAAAGATATTGATAATATACTTTTTAGAGTTAGAAACATACCAGAAATTAATGTTAGAAACATTGCTTTGTTTTCTTTAGGTGAAGTTTTTGTGCTAAATGATGGTGGAGAAGTTGACCTCGACCTGGGAAATTATGAAAGATTCTTAGACATTAATCTTTACAAGGATAACAACATTACCACTGGAAAAATCTACCAACATGTCATCAATAAAGAGAGACATGGGGATTATCTGGGGAAAACAGTTCAAGGTACTTCTGTGGTGGTCAAATTCATGCAGATTATTTCCTTATCTATTTATGTAGTAAATTAGAGATTGAGAAGTTGTCATTCGACCAAACCCATTGAAGAAGCTTCCTGTCAAATAGGAATTTAAACCTAAGTTTCCCTGTCTAAGGTCTTTCCTCTGCTATTGTTAGTCATCTGTGTAGAAATTATGATAATTTCTCTATCTAACATATATTATCAATACCCATCAAAATGCAAACATCATCAATAAAACAGTAGATGTAATCAAAAGTTTCAAAGATTAGTGTCAGCCTTTTGGGTGTGTCTACTCAGAGGTAAGTCATAGTGGGTTAGGTGGAGCTTACTTCTGTGTAAAGAGGATTGCAATTTGACAAATATGAGATGTGTTAATCATTCTTTGAAGGCTGGGGAAAATAGAATGACGATTGATCCCACTGAAGTAAGCAAGAGGTGGTAGTGTCCGGGGAGACATTCTTTTAACTCAAACACTACCCCCAAAAGGCTGTTTTCTCCCATAGCTAACAACCATGGGTCATTCCATGTCAAAGCAACCAGTGCATGGAACCTTGATGTCATGGATTTGGTTCATTTTTGGTACATTTGTACCTTATCATGAGATACTTGAAAAATATTTTTTCAGATTTTTTTGGTCCACCTGTTTCTGAGATATTGCATTTTCAAAATTATAAAAAAATTCCAAAATTCACTAGCCACAATAACTTCATATGTCATTTAATAGATACCTATGATAGCTACAGACCTGGAACAGGTGCCATTTTAAAGCTTATGAATACGGCTTTCATTTGATATACAACATGATGCAATTGTACATATTCAAAAAAATTTACTCATTTAAGAAAATTTAAAATTTGAATTTTTGGGAAAACGGAATTTTTTAAAGTTTACAAAAAAAAAAAGATCATTCTTAAAGATACATGTCTTATAGCCAGTCAATCCAGATTTCAGGCTTGTATCTCAATGGTATCATACAAATCTTAAATTTTCTTGTTGGCAGTGACAAGGATTTAAATTGACTTAGCCCCGAAAATAGCCCAAAAGTTCTATACCTAATGATTAAAAACCTCTTTTTTCTTGGCTAGCATGTTGGATGCTTTTGTCATTTCCTGTGGGGTTAGCTGGTATATTCTCCCTGTAGCTATAATTGGATCCAGTTTGCAAAGGATGAAGTTTCCTGGCACTGTAAGAACATCCGGTTTCCTAGGATAAGAGAATGATGTTGCTGGTCCAGCTGGATGTAAAAATGATAGCTTGACTTCACGTTCTGCAGCATCCATGGAAAGAACACATCCCATCCACCTTGAATTCTCATCGGCACATGCCACAAAACCGTTCAAATGATCAAAATCTACACCTTGAAGTTCGGGAGTGACGTTAATACAGTGGTGCCCCATTTGACGACGATAATGCGTTCCAGCAAAATCGCTGTTAAGCTAAATTGTTGTCAAGTGAAAAAAAAACCCATTGAAATGCATTGAAAACTGGTCAATGTGTTCCAGTGAGGGAAATACCTGATCGTGCAGTGAAGATCCTCCATAGGGTGACCATTTTCCGCTCCCTGTCTTGCGAAATGAGGTCAGCAAAACAGCGGGGAGCCATTTTGAGAGCTGCTGATCAGCTGTTTTTAAATAGTTGTTAAGCGAAAAATCGGTTCCCGAAGCAGGGGGACCGATCGTCATGAAGCGAAAAAACCCCATACAAACATCGTTTTGCGATCGCTATAGCGATTGCAAAATACTCATCATAAAGCGATTTCGTTATCTAACGGGGTAATCGTCAAGTGGGGCACCACTGTACAATGTAAAACAGAATCATGAGAAGCTGATAATGCTTTGGTTTCTAATTTTTCAATTGATACTGGGAGGAAGACATAACACTTCTGAGTTCCTTTCAAAAGCCAAGCAAAGCATGCTGCTTATATACCGCCCCATAGTGCTTCAAGCACTCTCTGGGTGGTTTATAAGTTAATTATGCAGGCTACACATTGCCCCCCCCCTCCAGCAAGCTGGGTACTCATTTTACCGACCTCGGAAGGATAGAAGGCTGAGTCAACCTTGAGCCGGCTACCTGGGATTGAACCCCAGGTCGTGAGCACAGTTTTGGCTGCAGTACAGCGGTTTAAATCCTGCACCACGAGGAACTGCTTCATCAAATCGTGCTTTAAAAAAATCTCTTCTCTTTGTCCAAATTTGTGTAACCACCACACTGATTGCCAAGGCAAATCTCTCTTTCCAAAGCTCTCCTCTTCCAAGTATTCATCATTTGTTATATAACAACATTACAAACTCCTTTGCCATGTGCAGTGGCATAAAAATGCCACTCTGCTTCAATGCCTTAGGAAGAGGCAGTTTTTTTTGGAAAAGCTGTTACTGGTCGCAAGGCATTAGGGATATTAAAGATAAAAAAACACAATTTTGATAGGCCCTTCAGGTGACTGAAAGCTAATGTAGATTAGGAAGTGATGACATAATACATTGGAATCATTCAGCCCTAGTTAACAATGTAGCAATCATGCTGTGGACTGAAATTCTTCCACTATTTTCAAGGGAGTCCCCTATCCAAAGCAATGCTTATCTATTCAGTGTTAAAGCCATACAGTATGCCTACTGATTTGGTTGGTGAATCTGCATTCTTGGAAGTACCATCAAGCTCAATGGTGCTTACTTCCGAGTAAGTAGGTATACACAGTCTTTTTTGTAAGATCGCAGTTCTGTACATGCCTACTGAGAAAGTCACAGTGAGTTCAGTTGCATATTTGATATGTATTTGTCACTTCAGTACTGTTTATTTTAAATGTAAAAATTGCCTTCTCCTAAATGTTAATCTGAAATATTTTGTAAAGTTGTTGAAAGTTTTGGGAAAATACTATATTATGATATGGTAACATAGAACCATTGTTTTTAATGTTGTGCTAAAGTTTTGAAATACAGTAATTACCAGTATTTCCAAGAATACAAAACCGAGTCCATGTTCCATTTGTATTGTATTCCTGTTAATTCATTTATTCATCTTCCTTTAGCCTCTTCAGGAGCTTTTGCCAAACCATATTAGAAATGGATATGCTTCTATATTGAACCACTGCTCTCTAAAGCCTCTGCTATTGTGCCTCTGGTGATAATCTTCTGACTTCTTATTTCATTGATTTTGGGCTTTACTTGCAGTTGTCCCACATATTACTGACGCTGTTCAAGAATGGGTAATGAACCAAGCAAAGGTTCCTGTTGACGGTGACAAAAAAGAACCTCAGATATGTGTAATTGAAGTGAGTACGAATTATTTATTTATGGAAGTCTGAGTAAAAGCAACAACTGTATTGTATTTTATTTATCATTCTGAAGGTCTTCAAATAACTGCAGAGCAATAATCTTATGTGATCACTGTTTATTGCTGTGCATTTTCTTGATAGCTCAGTGGCTTAGTTTCTTGATTGCACAGCCAGAGATAGAGACTTCAGTTCTCCACTGTGTCTCGTCAGTGGCTAGACTCAATGATCCATAGGGTCTCTATCAGTTTTGCAGTTCCAAGATGGTGATGATGATGATACTGTTGAAGGAGTTGTGACAAGAGTACATAGAATTTGGCTGAAATTATTATTGTCATGGCTCTATAATGCTTCCTTTTTATCTAACTTAAAGGGGGTGGGGGAGAGCTAAAACTGAATTCTTTTTTCCTTGGCTCAGATTAACTAGATATTGCCTTTCAGCTGGGAGGAACTATTGGAGATATTGAAGGAATGCCTTTTGTAGAAGCTTTCCGACAATTTCAGTTTAAAGCCAAAAGGGAGAACTTTTGCAACATCCACGTCAGCCTTGTACCACAGGTAAATTCTTCTCATATTGTGCATTGTTTTTCACATTTTGAATATTACAGCAAACTCATATGAGGTATGTTCAGGGTCGGTGGGGAAGAGCAAATTATAGCCCTATTAAAGGTAAATTTAACCTGATTCATAAGGAAGGGGAACAGGCTAGCTCCTTACTGCATTCATTGCTCTCTTCACGTGTCCTGTATACATTTAATATCTCCATGTGGTTTTTGTTTGTGAGAAGGGGATGACAGTGGAAGAAGGAGGTTGTCCTTTTCTCTTTCACCACAGGTTTAGATTATCCCTATCCTGAATGCCTTCATCTTATTGTCACAATTTTTGTCTTTGGCAGCAAGAAGTGCTTTGTAAGGCTGTACTTCCTGGATGGATTACTATAATACATTCTATGTGGGGCTGCCTGTGGAAAGACAAACATACACTTTATAGCAGCTCCATTGACTGCTGATCCATTTCTGGGCATAATTCAAAGTTCTGGTTCTAACCTATAAAGCTATAAATAGTTTGGTCTCAAGCTTTCTCAAATAGCACATCTCCCTTTATGAGCCTGCTTGAGTGTTCATATCAACAGGAGAGGCCTTCCTCTCAATCCTGCCACTTTCATAGTTGTGCCCGGTGAGGACACAGGAAAGGGCCTTCTCTGTTGCTGCTCCCAGACTCTAGAACACCTTCCCATAAGAGGCTAGACTGGCCCCATCTTTACTGACCTTCTGCATGCAGACAAAAACCTTTCTCTTTAGCCACGCTTTCTCTTGGTGACTGATTAAGTGGGATCTTTAGATGGTTGTACTTTACTGCATTGAATGTGTTTTTATGTTACTTATGTTTTTGGTATTGTATTCATTAATCTTTTTAGTATTGTACAGTGGGACCTCGACTTACGAACGTCCCTACTTACGAAAATTTTGAGTTACGAAAAGCTCTGGCTGCAAAATTTTGCTTCAACTTGCGACCAGAGCATCTACCTATGAAAGCAAAAAAAGGCAGGTGGATAGGGTGCGAAATTCAAACCGTTGGTGGCGAAGAGGCTTCTTCTTTGCCCCATTGGTTAGGAAAAGGGAGGCTCAGCCTCCTGGGCTTCCAACACTGCCCCGACCGCTGCGCCGGATGCTGGTGCTTTGGAAGCCCAGGAAGCCGGCACCCGGCGTGGAGGTTGGGGTGGCTTTCGGGGACAGGAAGCAGAGGGCAGTGGGGGCGGCTTTGGAAACCCGGGAAGTCGAAAGCCGCCCCGACCTCTGCGCCAGGTGCCGGCTTCCCACGCTTCCAAAGCTGTCCCCGCTGCCTCCGCCGCTGTTTTGTTTTTTGCAGCCCCAGGGGCTTGCAGTGTTCTAATTTATTTTATTGGTATTTTTTGCTTCGGCCAGAATGGATAAAATGGTTTTCAGTGCATTCCTATCGGAAATGGAGCTTCGCCTTACGAAATTTTTGAATTAGGGCCACCATTCCAATATGGATTAATTTCGTATGTCGAGGTACCACTGTATACTAAATTAACTTATTAACTTAAATACTTTTTAAAAATTGTTGTAAGTGACTTTGGGTCATTTTAAGGAGCAAAGCTGGTTAAAATTATGGTTGTTATGGGTTTTTTGGGCTCTTTGGCCGTGTTCTGAAGGTTGTTCTTCCTAACGTTTTGCCAGTCTCTGTGGCCAGCATCTTCAGAGGGATGGGCTTTTGTCTTTTTTTGTAGATGGGTGATTAGTGTGTCTTGTTGTGGGTGTCTTGTTGTGATACTCTCCTTCTTATCACAGTGCTGTCCTCTGAAGATGCTGGCCACAGAGACTGGCAAAACGTTAGGAAGAACAACCTTCAGAACATGGCCAAAGAGCCTGAAAAACCCACAACAACCATTAGATCGCGGCCGTGAAAGCCTTCGCGAATACACTGGTTAAAATTAGTTTAAATAAATAAATGAATAAAGATGTTTCTGAAAAAACACTCTAAAGAAGATTGTGATAGTTCATACTATGTCTTCATGTGTAAACTCAACTGCAAATTTATAATGTCCTTTGTGACATTATAAAGACCAGCACCCACTGACTTGGCAACCGTAATTGTTGAGAAGGGAATTAAGATAATATTCTACAGTAGAAATATGTAGACGACATGCATGAAGTGAGCATGCAGAAAAAAACTTGAGATGAGATTTTCTATTTGTTTATTTTCAGCCTAATGCTACTGGTGAACAGAAGACAAAACCAACTCAAAACAGTGTTCGGGCTTTAAGAGGACTCGGATTGTCTCCTGATTTGGTGAGTTTGATACACTCTACAGTATTATGTAAGGATGGAAAATCAGTATTGATTTTTTAAAAGGCATATCAGAAAAAAATTATGACCATGTCTAAGACATATGAAACATTTAAATTGAGTTATTTAACAAATCTGTGTAAGAATTAGAAGTAATTGTGTAAGAATTCATTACTAAAATCAGGTTGTTTTGACTATTCAGTCATACTGACAAAGCTGCATTTCCTCTCACATAAAGCCAGATGTTTCCCCTAAAATAAGACCTAACCTGATTGACAAAGCTGCATTTCCTCTTACATAAAGCCAGATGTTTTGACCTTATACCCTGTTTCCCCTAAAATAAGATCTAACCTGAAAATAAGCCCTAGTATGATTTTAAAGGATGCTCATAATATAAGCCCTACTGCAAAAATAAGCCCCATTAAAGTGAAACCGCCCCCTCCACCATTGTGCAGTAACCAAAAGAAGATGACATGACTGTATTTGAATAAATGTAGATTTTTGTACATGAAAAAAAATAAAACATCCCCTGAAAATAAGCCCTAATGTGTTTTTGGAGCAAAAATTAATATAAAACCCTGTCTTCTTTTTGGGGAAACATGGTATTTGTGTATTGTTCTTAGGGCTAAAATTCATTATTTCTGTTTTTGTTTGCTTTGGTTTCTACACTTGTATCTTTCCATGCAGCATGAAGCATAAATTTAAGTTCATAGATGACACAGGCACACAGAGGTTATTTGCTTTATATTCTTGTTTTGTGTTTTTGGCTATGTATGCTGTCGGTGTTTTTCAGTTTAGAAGGTTCTTGTCAAAACTGGTAAAAGATGTTCTGCAGCTATGCCATAGTTTCTTAATAGATTTTTTAGGAAAGAAATAGGATGGGAGAAGAAGAGAACTACAAATAAAGGACCTAAAATACTCCTTCCATAAGTGGATACTTCAGAACTGAAGCCGCTCAGAGTGGTATAGATGTATCAGATGGGCGGGATATAAATCAAATAAATAAATAAATAAATAAATAAAATAAGCTGAAAGGCAATAGATTCGCAGGTGCAAAATTTGGTGAAGTTCCAGTATGAACGTACTGAGCTTTGCTTGCACAAGGCCTGCCCAAGGCAATAGATTCGCAGGTGCGAAATTTGGTGAAGTTCCAGTATGAACATACTGAGCTTTGCTTGCACAAGGCCTGCCCCCCTTTATTTCAATATGAGAAAATGTTATATTTACCAGAATACAGTCAGATAATTTTTCCTAACATGGAAGTGATTGTTTCAACATGTGTATATTGGATTACCCAGTTTTGCACTAGAGCCTTAGAATTTGTGCCTTGGTGATTGAGTACAACATTGGCAATCCTATGTATCGGGAATGTTTTATGGATCAGGAAAATGGAATCACTGAAGAACCAATAGAATTGGATACAGTTCTGGATGCAGTAGATATTTCTTTATGTTTCTCACTTTTAAAAAAAAAACAGGGCAGACTTGGAAGCACGGGAAGTTTTAAAACTGTTATAGTGTGTTGTAGTGGATGGATTGCAGAACTTTTGTTATTTGTTAGATGAAATGTTCCCATTCTAACGTGATAGTTTAAAAGTACAGTGGTGCCTTGCTTAGCGATGTTAATCCGTGCAGAAAAAATCGCTGCTAAGCGATAACATTGCTAAGCGAAAATAAAAAGCCCGGATTGCAGAACTTCTGTTGTTTGTTAGATGAAATGTTCCCATTCTAACATGATAGTTTAAAAGTACAGTGGTGCCTCGCTTAGCGATGTTAATCCGTGCAGAAAAAATCGCTGCTAAGCGATAACATCACTAAGCGAAAATAAAAAGCCCATAGAAACGGATTAAAATGCGATTAATGCGTTCCTATGGGCTTAAAACTCACCTTTAAGTGAAGATCCTCCATAGCGCCGCCATTTTCGGTGCCTCTAAAGCGAGGTATCCGTGCCTGAAAACAGCAGGCGGCCATTTTGTTTACCCGGTGGCCATTTTGAAACCACCGATCATTTGGATGAAAATGGGGGCTTTGCGATGATCGCTTCTCTGTGATCATCGCAAAGTGAATTTCCCCCATAGGGACCATCGCAAAGCGCTCCCTTGTGATGGCAAAAAGCCCATCGCAAAGCGATTTCGTCGCTATACAGAGCAATCGCTATGCGAGGCACCACTGTATGAGGAATTAATGGTTTCTCTTAAAGTTTTTTCCTTTTATTTGTACCCAATAAATCTCAGTTTTTATTTTGAATCATATTTTGGCCGGAAGCTACTTATTTGAGGGAATGGTTGGTGGCAGTGGAAAAGAAGACTGATTTAGAGTGATGTAGCGACCCCCCTTTGTGAGGTAGAGGGAGGCCATTACAGGGACCATCGCAAAGCGATCACTTGCGATGGCAAAAAGTCCATCGCAAAGCCTCCCTTGTGATGGCAAAAAGCCCATCGCAAAGCGATTTCGTCGCTATACAGAGCAATCGCTATGCGAGGCACCACTGTATGAGGAATTAATGGTTTCTCTTAAAGTTTATTGAGTTTGATCTCTTTTATCCTTTCTTTTCCTTTTTTTCTTTCTTTTTTGAAAAAGTACACTTTAAAATCTATCCATTTTTTAAAGGAAGAAAATGTTGGTTCTATAAATTGGTTTCCTACATTATGTTTTCTAATCTATAGATCTGTATGTTTGACAGATAGTGTGCAGAAGTACCAAACCAATAGAAATGGCTGTGAAAGAAAAAATTTCGATGTTTTGCCATGTGGAACCTGAGCAGGTTTGTGAGCTATCTAAAAATCATAACTGTGTTCTTATTTGTAAGTATTTTCTGTTTTGTTTTTACTTCAATTTAGCTCATGTGGGAAAATGTTTTGCATAATAGAGGAAGATCAGCAGCCGCTTACATAAAGCTGATTGTTGTGAGAATACTAAAGAACATTTTTTTCTGAATTAATTAATTTTAAGTATTCTCTGAGTCCATGATTTTATTTATGATAATCTCTGTGGCATTCTATTTTGTTATTTTATTAATTTTGAAGTAGTGTGGTAATTTAATCACAGGACAAACATGTTATTAAAAAGTTCATTATATTCCAGCAGAGGTCAGTGTTGCATTTTTAGGCAAGGTAAACAAATGGATCATTTATTATTTAAGGTTGTATAGCTGTCAAGTGAAGTAAAATGGTTTCATGAATATTATTTCCAATGCATACCTTTGTTTCTTAAATTGTATTTGATGGACAGTTGGGCTTTCAGAACAGTCAGATTTATTAATTTTTTTTTCTATTGGTATTAGCAGAATGTTTTAATAACTTTTTTACCAACTTAGAAAAACATACTGTACTGCCAGTGTATTACAAGATCGTACACAGCACAGTTCCATAGCCAAGTTGGAAGCAAGCTGTGTTGAGGCTTCCCTGATTAGTTGTCATTGGTACGCACCTGTAGAAATAAGAAAACAACTGTGCTTCTTGATTATACAAAATCATTTCTTAGAAAAGAAGAGGTGCTCATGTTACAGAGAAGTGTCCAAACAAACAATATTCTTTGGCTTGTTTATAATTATTAGTACGTACTGTACATACAGTACTTTTTCAGTTTGGTCATTGGTTGCCTGGATATTTTTTTCTGCTTGTCTATAATACAGAACTAGGATGGGTGATCACCAGAGGTGCATGAGCTGCACATACCCATCCCTGTACTCTGAAAAGACTGCTTCCATGAGTTGCTAACCCTTTTTTCCCCCTTACAAGTGTGGGGTTTTAAGACTGGAAAGGCCCCCTTGCAGCTTCTAGTCACCAGTTAAAAAACCTTGGCAGTTTGGGGAGGCTAGGTTTGTTTGCTGACCCAAGAATTTTTGAAGTTTAATCATATGCATGTCTGCTCTGAATTTTATTGCACTTCTATTCACTTGCAGTAAAGTATGTGCAAGAATGCAGACTTAGAGTGTAAAACTGACTGTAAATCCTCTTGCTTTCAGTGGGGCTTCTGATCGAATGTTCCTTGAACCAAACACCTGCCAGCCTAGAGATATTTTGGATAAACCTTGCTCTAGTACAACTTTGTGCTGCCTTTGCGTCTGTGCCTCTCAGCTGGATCAGTTCAGGATCTGGCATACCTTGTTTGCTCTTTTGCCCTGCACCTTCACTCCACTTTTTTCACCTCTTCTGCCAACAGATTGTAGCCAGTAGAGCATTTCTGCCAGAAGACTATATGATGTTTGAGACAGAATAGGAGAAGTCTATTTCTTCTTCTGGCATACGTGTTTCTTTCTTGCTGTAACCTGCTGTAGGCAGTGCATCTTTTGGGTTAAGATTGTACTATTATTCTGTGTTCAGTCTGTTTAGAATAGTGGCTCCCAGCCTTGGATCCTCAGATATTTGTCGGCTGCAACTCCCAGAAATTTTGACCAGCATAATTAGTGATGAAGGTTTCTCTGAGTTTTAGTCCAAGAACAGTTGGGGACCCAAGGTTGAGATCCACTAGTTTAGAACTACTATATTGTCTTATAATGATGTGAGCCACTTTTGTATACTCATTGTTTTTAGCTTAAATATTGTCTTTCAATGATATAAGCCACCTTGGGCCCCTTTAAAGGAGAAAGATGGGATAAAAATGAATAACTATATTAGGGCTTATCCTGAGATGATGGGTATATGATTACAGCATGTGTTAATGTTTCCTTTTTGAGTAATCAGTACTGTAATGTTTAAGGCAACATTATATTTAATACCTGCAATTTATATATGACATGTAAAAATATATCTGTTTCTAAATTTTATATGTCATTAATTGAAAGTCATGTTCCCTAGGTAATATTTATTCATGATGTTTCATCCACTTACCGAGTGCCAATTCTGTTGGAAGAGCAAGGCATTATTAAGTATTTTAAAGGGAGGCTGAACCTGCCGATTGATGACCAACCAAGTGAACTTCTTCTGAGATGGAAAAAAATGGCTGATAGGTACAGTTCTCACACTTGTTTCATTATATTGCACCACCACAACCCAATGCCTGCATGAGCAGAGAGTTTTTTGTCTGATGGCTATGGTAGGTAGGGTGCCTACTGGTGAAATGATAGAACAAGCTTTTTTTCCCCTGTCTGCATTATTATGACATTTCTGACAAAGTACTCTGAAACACAAAACTTTTGCTGTTGGTTTATCCAGCTTGGCCCCCTGTATATTACTTCCAATACTGCAAATACTGAATAGGAAAGTAGTTGTGGGTCATCCATGTTGATTACTACCTTTTGAATCAGACTTCCTATGAAAAGAAGTCTTACCTCACTGGATTAGCAATAGTAACATGATATAAAACAAAAATTTTAGCTTGTGTTGCTTTTCCTCTCCTAAATCACAAACATTTGTTTATAATTTTAAAAAGTCTGAACCAGATTTTTATCTGGAATTATGTGAATTGTTCAAGCCTGCTCCTGATCTTATTTACTGGAAAGTGTGTTCAAATTATTTCTGCAGGTCTTTCTTTGTAGCCCTCAGAGATAGGTCTAAATATTTTGTTATGGTGCAGGACATCCAAATGATACCTCAGTTGTACCAAAGTATTAAATAACTGAGAATTCTTCTTTGTGGCCTCTGTGCATGCACACAGATGGGTTGTTCTGTGCCTGTGCAGGACATTTCAGAAGTTTCTAGAGCTTAAAAGAGATTTGACAATAAGACATTCCCCCGTGGAGCGCATGCTCTGCCCTCTGAACTTCCCCTCAGTTCCTTTTTTCGCATTGGTAGGATGTAATGAAACACCTAGAGCGTCAATAGTGAGTATTCATTTTCTTAAATATATGATTACTTTCTAAATTACCTAAGATTCTTATATGATTATTATTATTTTACATCCCCCTGTGATTATTGTCTATTTTTCTCTACTTTCTAAATTACCTCAGATTCTTATATGATTATTATTATTTTACCTCCCCCTGTGATTATTGTCTATTTTTCTCCCCACATACAACTTTTTTTCAGCTTTTCGAGTCCCCCCCCTTTCCCCAAAGTGACGTTTTCCCTTCTCTCCCATTTTATGGCCTCTCAGGGACCGTTTAAACTGTGCATTCTTTGCCAGAGGAAAATTCCGCTTCGCATTGGTAGGATGTAATGGAACACTTAGAGCGTGAATAGCGAGTATTCATTTTCTTAAATACAGTGGTGCCTCGCATAGCGCCAGAGGAAAATTCCGCTTACTGACGGGCATGGCAAATGCTTATTTTGCTTGGGGGAAGAACACCAAACCCAATTGTTCCCTGAATGCAAAAAGCTAACAAAATCTGCAATAAAACAAAGGTTACAACGATTAAGATCACATCAGTGGGAGACGTGTCTTTGCCCAGCTATGGAGAAACTTACCTCACCAAAAGATTCAACACATTCAGAACCAGCTTGATCGATATTGACCCCGATGGCTCGCTTGATATCAAGCCTGACGCCGACCCCAACAAGGCAAAAATAATCTTCTAAAGGTCCTCTGAAATCGAGCTCAAAGCCCATTTCGAAGACACATATGCATTCTGATGAGGGCACTAAAAAGAAAAAAGACGAAGATAAATCATCAAAAACTAAAAAGCGATCAAAATCAACACATATAAAACCACCACAGCTTATTCCTCCTTCACCAATCTTAGGGAAATCATGAAGAGAAGTTCCCATTTCAACATCTGATAGAGAAGAGCATAACTTAACTTCAGCACAAGTTGCACCATCAATAGCTAGCCTTTTGCCTAGCACAGGCCACTCACAGGCTGGGATCCATTTCAGCCCTGCCTCGGCCCTTTCCAGCCCTCGTTTATCAGGGCGGGTGTTAAGTGTGCAAGCTTCAGGATCAGAATCTTCCTGACACTCTCTGCATAAACACAAAGAAAAGAGATGGCATAGCTCTCCACCTTGATATGTCCCTCAACATGAACAAACATATTGTTACCCGGAACACCATCATTTTTTTCCAACACCTTTCTATCATCACGGGCAGCAATACTACGACCTGTGTTACCCAGAGAACGAACCAAGGAGAGTACGATATGCCTCACCACCATGGCATTCAGTGTCGAGATCACCATCTCCTCTAACTTGATGTCATTGCTCAGCACATTCAACCCATGCACAGATTCATCCATCATCAAAGTCTGTCCTTAAAAGTCTGACCCCCACGTCATGCTTGTCCATCATGAGGTCTACTTCAGTATCAGAAACACCAATACAGAGTGTGGCGGAACCCCCACGTCATGCTTGTCCATCATGAGGAGCTCAAGGGCAGGAGCCTATGAGAGGACGGGGGGGGCAGAACCCAGAGGACAGTTAGACAGTTAGTTAGACGGTTAGAGAGGGGAGTCAGAGAAAAGAGGTTGGAGATAGAGAATTAAAGAGAGAGAGTTAGGAGACTGATTTAAGAAAGATGACAGATTGGAAAGTTGGAAGGCTAGAAATAATAGGAAATAGTTCAAATGCATAGTGAATAAATAGTCAGAGAATATTTTAACAGTGAAGAAATACACATACAAACCAACATGAAAGCAAATGAAATTAAATGAACAATCCTAAACATCTGTGATTCACTCCTGTCATTTGCATAACATCTATATTCTCAATAAATCTGCTGTATTGGCAGCACGTGTCTAAGATCTGTATATTTGGTATTAAGGGAATAATACCTGGTGGCAGCGTGAAGTCAGGAAACACATCCAGAGGGTGGACTTGTTTTTAGAGAGAAAATAAATGTGACACCAAGTAAAAGAACAAAGCAATCAATATAACCTTTACAAATATCCACAACCTATGCAGGTCCATCCTTACATACCGGCACCGAAACTCAATCAAAATTGATCCAATCATCAAGAGAATCAATACCGATAATATTGACATCTAGATTACAACATTCACCATCTATTTCTTCAACATTATCTCAAGACTCTGACTCTACTGGATCCAGAGAATCATATACCAACCTCCCTACCCCTACATCTGATATTGGAGAGAATCACCCTCCCTCACCCTCAGAAGATTTCACATCATATTCCCAATTAATCCTCAAAATGGCCAGGTTTTTAAAATTAAATATCCAAGAACCACCGACTCAAGAAAAAGATGTAGTTTTTCACAGCCTGGACCAAGATAAAACTCTCCCACTGAGCTTAAGTCTAATACCAGCATGTTTCAACTGGTGAAGGACTTTAGCCTTTTGTTTCTGTTCATGGGGTTTTCTTGGCAAAGATACTGGAGTGGCTTGACAATTCCTGCACCAGGTGGATCGTGTTTAGTCAGAACTCTCCACTATGACCTGTCCATCTTGGGTGTCCCTGCACGGCATAACCCATAGCTTCTTTGAATTACTCAAGCCCCTTCGCCATGACAAGGCAGCAACCCATGAAGGAGTTGATTTTACCAACTTTATTTCCATCTCCTTTTACATCCATTGAGTGCATTCTCCATATGCTAGACGTCCAACGGGCTTTGGCCTTTATACCAACAGGACAAATGCATTCAGGAAGTCCCCAAGACTATTTGTATCCTTCCAACGTCCTCACAGGGTGCTCCGGCATCACCACAAACCACCTGTCACTGGATAGTACAGACTATATCATTGGCATACGAGCTTTCAGGCAAAACACGTCCTGAACATTTAAAGGCCCATTCCACCAGAGCGTTGTCAACATCCACTGTTTCCATCATGGAATAGAACTACAAAACATCTGCCGAGCAGCAATCTGGTCCAGTCCATAAACCTTTGCCAAGCATTATCACCTTGATTTGGGAGCAAAGAATGATGCTGCAATCGGCAGGGTGATTTTGACATCTCTGCTACCGTGACGTCCTACCATCCGGTAAGTGAGCTTGTGAGTCACCCACTTGTGTGCATTCACAGAGGGCATGAAGAAGAAAGCGAGGTTAATTACATGTAACCATAGTTCTTCTAGTGGACCTCTGTGAATTCACACATTCCTCCCTTCCTCCCCTCTGTCCGTCACATTGTCTTTTATATACACTACTACTTTGGAAGGAACTGAGGGGAAGTTCGGAGGGCGGAACATGTGCTCCACAGGGGGATGTCTTATTGTCAAATGTCTTTTAAGCTCTAGAAATTTCCAAAACATCCTGCGCAAGCATGGAAGAATCCACTTGTGTGAATTCGCAGAGGTCCACTAGAACAGTGGTTCTTAACCTTTGTTACTCGGATGCTTTTGAACTGCAACTCCCAGAAACCCCAGTCAGGACAGCTGGTGGTGAAGGCTTCTGGGAGTTGCAGTCCAAAACTCCTGAGTAACACAAGGTTACCAGTGCACTAGAAGAACTATGGTTACAGGTAAGTAACCTCTCTTTTTTGTTGCCTTTCAGAGATATCCCAAAATTTTCTACCAGAGACGGGCCGCTTCATGTGATCCAGCTTTGATTATAACAGGGGGGCTAGTGGCCTGATTTACAGCCCTGCATAGATACTTAGATGAAAGCTCTTTCATATCTATAATAATTTTATCTACCATTAGAGGTTAAAAAATGTTTGTTTTCTTTGTGGACATTGATGAAAAACTTCTGCTATTCAGGTATGAGCGAATGCTGAAGACATGTTCTGTGGCTCTAGTTGGCAAATATACAAAACTGAGCGATTCCTATACGTCCGTTTTCAAGGCCTTAGAACATTCAGCTTTAGCAATAAACCACAGGCTCAATTTAATGGTGAGAATCAATTTTTTCTGCCTTTTCTTTCTTCAGGTTTTTCTTCCTTTTCAGGATGTTTATATATTTCATAGTTTTGTTTTCTCTTATAGATACTGCCTAGGGAAAGAAGTATAATTGGGACTTTATGGCTGAAATCCTGTTGCTTAGAGTAGTAAGTCATACTAGAGTAGCCCCATTGAATCAGGGGGGTTTGGTGAGTTTACTTTTTGTATATTCCATTGATTTGAAAAGGTCTACTCTAGTTACAATTTATTTTAGGATAATAGGTTGCGACTAGAGTAGGGCTGCTTTCACTGATTCAGTGGGCTACTCTAGTGTGACAATAAGCTTATCAACAGGACTTCATCCATTGAGTAAAGAGTTGTAAACATACCATTGATTGATTGATTGATTGATTTACAATAAAGAGCCTCGTGGCACAGTGGATAAACTACTGTACTGCAGCCAAACTCTGCTCACAACGCAGGTTCAATCCCGGCTAGTTGGTTTGAGGTTCTTCCATCCTTCCAAGGTTTTTAAATTGGGTATCCAGCTTGCCGGGAGAGACAATGTGTAGCTTGTATAATGAAATTGTAAATGCCCAGAGAACACTGTGGGGTTTTATATAAGCAGAACACTTCATTTTTTGTTTTTTTAAATTGCAGTAATTTCTTTGACTAAGTTTCTGCAGTGTAAGGGGAATTGCATGCACTTGACAACTATTAACTGCTTGCAATCCTGTTGGTAGAGCTCTTCATGCCTAAGAGTGATAATGCCATCAGCTATGTCCTTGTATATTTCATTAATTAATTATCCCTCCCCCCATGCAACATTCTGATGCTCCCTAGGGATCCCTTTCAATGCAGACAAGCTTTTGGGGGCCTTTGGATTGGGGAGACTCTTTCATATCAAAAATTCCCCCCTATCCTGAGGCCCCAAAGGCTATAAATTGCAATATTAAATAGGTAACAAATTTTTCACAGCAATAATGAAAGTTGGACAGCAGGTGGCTTTTCTGATATCTTCTCATTGCTTTTTAAGAAAAAACAAACCAAATGTTTGTTATTGTGTATTCGCGAAGGCTTTCACGGCCGGGATCTAATGGGTTTTTTGGGCTCTTCGGCAGTGTTCTGAAGGTTGTTCTTCCTAACGTTTCGCCAGTCTCTGTGGCCGGCATCTTCAGAGGACAACACTTTGTGCTGTTCGTTATTGTCTTACTCATTAGGGAACATAAAGATTGAAAATAACTACGTCTCATTGTTTTACTCTCAGATAACTTAAAAAGTATATATTTGTGCAAGATTCCATGAATTTGATCCAACTCCGGGAGGCAGTGGAAGATAGGAGGGCCTGGCGTGCTCTGGTCCATGGGGTCACGAAGAGTCGGACACGACTAAACAACTAAACAACAATTATCAGAACAGAACAAGTTTTATTGCTTAAAACTGCAGATCGCCAGAGTGTATCAACAGCAACAGAGAACTCCACTGGCACAACATATCTATACATAAATACAAGATGACATAACTTCTCTTCTTTCTTAAGACTTTTGATGTTTGATGCATATCTTTGCTGCCAAAGCAAATTTTGCTGCTTGGTAGGTAGCAGTTACATCCCTACCCACAAGCAGCGTACAAGGTTGAGCCAAGGTAGGGTCTGTCACACAAAAGTCTGAGAATGCCAGCAAGAAGTTGACATCTGGGGTGCTCATAATAAAGGGCAACTTAATAAATAATGGAAAGCATCTTCAATCTCCTGATCCACAGACAGAGTCTTTGATGGCATACATTGAAAACATAAAGCTGTGAATGGTTTTCTTAAAGGGGCTGAGGTTAGATCAAAAAAATAATTCACCAAATCATATGATGTTGTATACATGGGAAACCAATGAGAATAGGACATTCATGAGATGGCACACAAATCCCGCCACTTAGAGTAGAGACAGATTTTTTTCTTTAATCAAATGCTTGACTGTTGGAGACAAAAGTGGACAAGGACTCTGTTGTCAGTCCCATAGTTCTGTAAAATGCATCTAACTGAATTTACTCTTGAGAAAGACTATGGAGCTGTTCTTTGTAGCATTTCTTTGGAAGGCGAGAGTTGCTCATGCAAGCCAATTTCAGCCAATACATGGCCAGCGCAATGTGGGAATGTGTTTCATTTGGGATTAATCGTACTTCAGCCCTTACGTATGTAGCAGGTGTGCCATGGGGGACTGTTAGGAAAGATCATGTGAAAGTGTTTTGAACCACATCTTGAGTGAGGGTCTTTGTATATCCTCATATCTCTGCCCCATATGTTATTTGGGATACTGTTTTCTTAGCAAACACCTGTACTGCAAGGGTAACTAAATGCCCCCCATGGATTATGGTAAACCGCAAAAGAGACTGAGTGAAATGGAATGCTTTCACGTTGATTGCTTTCAGATGGTGTTTCCATGAAAGCTAGGCATTAACGCAAAGGCCGAGATATCTAAACTTGTGTGACTGCTCAGTGAGTTTGTCATCGCGCTTCCATGTGTGGGCTTTTCTTTTATTTCCAAAGACTACTACAGTGGTGCCTCGCATAGCGAGGTTAATCCGTTCTAGATTAACCTTCGCTATAGCGAAACATCGCTGAACGGGACAGGGAAAGCCATTGGAACGCATTAAACATCGTTTAATGCGTTCCAATAGGCTCCTTTACTCACCGTTCAGCGAAGTTTCCTATGGCCGGCAGCCATTTTCGCGCCCTCGTTAAGCGAGGGGAGGGCGCAAAAACGCTGCGCGCGGCCATTTTGGGGCTTCCGGCGGCCATTTTGTCCGCCAAACAGCTGATCGTCGGGGCTTCGTTTTGCGAAGATCGGTAAGCGAAACGCTTACCGATCTTCGCAAAGCGAGTTTCGCCCTATCTAAAAGTCGTTGAGCGATCGCATTAGCGATCCCAAAAAAGGGATCGCTATGCGATTTCATCGTTGTACGGTGTGCTCGTTAAGCGAGGGATCACTGTACTTTGGTTTTGGTGTGATTGATGACCAGGTGTTCTCTTACACAGAATTTACTTAGTTTAGCCAAAAGTCTTCTCATGCCAACTAATGTAGTGGAAACTATTCCAATATCATCTCTGTATAAAAGGATTGAAAACTTGACATCCCTTTTTTGGTTATAATCACTATAGACAGAAGATTCTTTCTGTGGAAAAAATTCTGTTGTATTACATATGTGAGTATTTGTCTATCTGTTTTCTCAATTAGTATATAGATTCAGCAGACCTTGAACATAGTACAGAGGCTGAGAATCCAGTTAAATTCCATCAAGCCTGGCAACGACTTTGCAAAGCAGAGTAAGTAGAATTCACTTCTTCAGATAAAATGGATATTTTTAAAAGGTTTAGTTTTATTATCTTACTGCCTTGAAGTGTCAATTACTTGTCAGTTACATTAATATCTCACTTTACTAAGCTACTATGCAAATATATCTTGACTTCACATATTATCACTATAAAACCTGTTTTATATGCCTATGTTTTGAATTTATTCATGTCAGATTGGTGTCATCATCATTACAGTAATACTTTTCTAAATTCAAAATTGGTTTCACAAATATGCTCCTATATTCTCTTTGTCATCATAGGTTGCCTTGAGTCCTCTCATTGGGAAAAAGGTGCCCTATATGTGAGTCTAAATAAATAAACCATCCAAGACCCAGTGTGAATACATAAATGTTGACAGAACATGAGGAGGGCTGGTTCCCTTCAAACTGAATCTTCCATGTGACTTCCACAGGAGTTTCTCCTCCTTTGCTTGCTCCATCCTGGAATGATATTGAACAAAAACTTGCTCTGAGGATGCAATGGATAGCCTATAATATGTTAGCTGTGTGACTGTTGTTCTGTGCTCCAGGATTCCAACACTGGTCTTGCCCCATTTAAAAAAAATAGATACTGTATGTTCAGATAACACAATTTAAAACTGCAGAGACATGATTGCAATCTAAATCATCTAGCTGTTCATCCATCCTTTCATGTGTTTTTGTTGTTGCATTGTGTATTTTGTTCCAGTGGTGTATTGGTTCCTGGAGGCTTTGGACATAGAGGAACAGAGGGAAAAATCCAAGCCATTTCATGGGCAAGAAAAAAGAAAAAGCCATTTCTTGGTAAGTCAAGTACAGTAGGAATGAACTAACCTCAATCTTGATAACCTTATTATTTCTTTAAATACATTATTCCTATATTTCACCAATGAGTTTTAAATTCACAGAGCTTTAGTGCATGCATAAGGGTCAGTTTACACAAAATGCTCTAAGTTGTGGCATTCCTCAGAGCTGAATGTCCAAGCAATCAAGTGTGCATATTAAGCCCACATTTACCTGCTATAACTTATAACTAATTGCAAAAGAAAGGAAACTATTTTGTAAGGTGCAGAAGTGAGATTACCTAGTCCTGGGGCAGACCGACATCTTTTACTTGTGGAAACCCCATTCTAGAGAGAGCATCATTTGTAGTTTGATGTGCAGTCTTTCTTCATCAGTTAAGAAAAGCATGCTAAATATGCAGTCTAATGGATCAAGCCACAGCCAACCTAACCCAGCAGCATTCAAAAAGGACCTAGTTAAAATGGCCCAGGCTACATTCAACCTGTTCCGGCTCCACATTTTTCATTCCTTGGTGAATATTTTCATTGTGCAATCTGGTCTTGTGCATGTTCACTCACAAGTAAGGTTCACTTAAAACAGTGAAAGCCTCTGATCAGTTTTCCCATTATTCTGTAAAAAGCAAGCTGGGAAAGGTATGGTGCCCTAGGAGACCACAAAGAAACCATCCAATCCAAACCTTTTTCCTGTGCCGTTTACATTTTCTGGATTCTTGTTCCCTTCATCTCACTTATTCTTTCTCTCTCTCTGTCTCTTACAAACATGTCTGCTGTTTTCCCCACTGTTTATATATATATAAACAGTGGGGAAAACAACAGACGTGTGTAAGAGACAGAGAGAGAGAAAGAATAAGTGATATATATATATAGCCACCATATGGATGTGTGAATTGGATCAGAAAGACAGTCAGAGAAAAAAAAATTAAACACTCCTCGTTGCAGCCATGTTCTCACATTATGCTAACATGGCACAAACTGTCCTTTTAAAAAATTCCAGACAATCTAATCATACATCTCCTAACATCTGATCACAGTTCACAGTACAGTATTTGAAAAATTAAAATGAACTTTGTTTGAAACAGGATCAAACTTTGCCTTGTTTCATAGATAACTTCAAACATGTGCAACAGTGCAGAATACAATTTTAAGTCCATTAAACCCCACTGAAATCACCTCCAGTAGGCAGAATGAATCCTGTGTGATCATATAAAGCTGCAGAGAACCACAGCCTTTATTTAAAATCTAAGACAGATATACCGTGTTTCTCCGATAATAAGACACTGTCTTATTATCTTTT